TCTCTTTAGAAGCTTAGCTCTGCTGGCATTTGAGATTGCAGCTCCTCATGTAGAGAAACACAACTCAAAAGTACAGACTATTGGAATCAGTTGATGTAGATTGTAGAGCAACTTCTAAATTTTTTAGGTGGGAGTGATAAGATTACAGAGATAGGATGACTTGCTGAGACAGGTTCCAGGATGCAGAGCCTGTTAATGGCAGAGGAAGCTAGAACCTGAGTCTCCTGGCCCCCAGTAATGCCCTCTCTTCCTGACACCAAGCTATCAATGTCCTCCTTAGAATACTGAGTTCTCCTGGTGGCTTGCTCCTTCACATTTCTAATTCATTGATCTGCTCTGTTTTGACTCACACTTCTGACACCAAATATGTGAGGCTTTTTTTTTTTTCTTCTCACACTAATCAATCCTCTAACACTCTGGGCACCCTGGGTATCCTACAATTTAATTCAGTTCTGACACCATCTACTTGGTATTAGCATTAGATCCCACAAGGGCTCAGTCCCACAAGACTGCCTCCACTTCAGATGCCAGTTGCAAGTGACTGGTCATCATCTGTACTTCTTACCTACCAGCTATATAAATATCAGGGTTTTTACAACCTTTTCCTCAGGTTTGATAATTTTCTAAAATGACACACAGAACTTAGGAAGGCATTTTACTAACTATTACTGGGTTATTATAAAGGATACAACACAGAAAGAGTGAAATGGAACAGATGCTAGGGCAAAAAATGGGGGAGGAGTGGTGTGTAGCTTCAGTGCCCTTTCCTAAGTAGGCATGATTGATTAAATCATTGGCCACTGATGATTAATTCAATTTCCAGCTCCTCTTTCTTCCCCAAGATTGTAAGGGGGAGAGGGGCTGAAAGGCCCAACCCCTCTAATTTATACCTAGGTCTGTCTGGTGACTAGCCCCCAGCCTGCAGATACTTAGGTGTCCTAAGCCAACAGGCATCTGATTAGCATTCAAAAGACACTCTTACACTCTGGAGGTTCCAAGGGTTTTAGGGAGCTGTGTTCCAGGAACCAGGGATAAAGACCAAATTTATGTATTTATTACATTGGGAGCTTGTTTTAAATGCAGAATATCAGGTTCTACCCCCAGACCTACTAAATCAAAATCCACATTTGAACAAAATCCCAGGAAATCCGTATTACATTGAAATTTGAACTGCACTGTCCAAATTCACAAACTGGCTGCACATTAGAATCATGAGCACTTTTTAAATGCTGATATCTAGCCCCATGCACAGAGTTGCTTGATTAATTGGTCTGAGGAGGAGCCATGGTATGGGTCTTATTTTTATCTTCCAGGTGATTTCATGTGCAGACAGGTTGAGAATCATTGCTCTAGTGTAGTTAACCTATAACTCACCCTGACACAACTTTTCAGGAACACATTTAGGCCAAAATCAATTTGCAAGCAAATATTCCAGTTCCTTTGCACCCAACTGAAATTCAGAGCCTACAAAGCATTGACAAGGGTGTCTGTCATTCTTTCTTTTCTTCCCTTATAGAATCATTACCTATCTTTACTGGCAGATCATAGAAGGAAGGAAGATTATGATCAGGCTGCTCCATGAACAGATCATTAATGTAAGTCTCATCGGACCCCTCCCACCTTCTTTTTAATACTTTATAATGGAAATTTCCAAACATGCAGTCGGCCCTCTGTATCCATGGGTTCCACATCCATGGATTCAACCAACCATGGATCGAAAATATTTTTAAAAAATTGCATCTCTACTGAACATTTGAAGACTTTTTTCTTGTCATTATTCTCTAAACAACACAGTATAGCATTATTTGTATGGTATTTACATTGTATTAGGTATTATAAGTAATCTATGGATAATTTAAAGTGTATGGGAGGATGCTCATAGGTTATTTGCAAGTACTTGGCCATTTTATATCAGGGACTTCAGAGATTTTGGTATCCATGGTAGGTTCTGGAACCAATCCTCCACAGATACTGAGGGATGACTGTACTCCAAAATAGAGTGGTGCAATGAAGCCCCACATCCCCCCCACCCAGCCCCAACAACTATCAACGTTTGTATACTCTTATTTCATCTACACTCTCTCTTCCCTGAAAATCTCTGGATTCTGTTAAAGCAAATCTTATGCTTTATAAATTTTTTATCTATTAAAACTTTTAAATGCATATCTATGACATAAGGACTTTTTAAAAACATAAGAACAATATCACCATTACACCTAAAAGAAAACTTACCAATAATTAATTACTATCATTTACTATCTGGTCAATGTTCAAATTTCCCCAAATGTCTTTTTATAGTAGAGTTGTTTAAATCAGGATCTGAAAAAAGGTCACATATTGCATTTGGTTAATATGCCTAATTTTCTTTTAATCTATAACTAATCACTACTCCCCACTTTCTCTTGCCTTTCTATTATTAAGAATACAGGTAGTCTTGTATTTCCCACATTCTACATATATCTGATTTGCAATCTTGGGGTGTTGTTTAGTATGGCTTTTCTCTATTTTTTCTTTTGTATTTTCTGTAAACTTGTGGTGAGATCTAGGGACCCAATTAGATCCAACATTTTAGGCAGAATACTTCATAGGTGATGCTATGCCCTTCTGTGACATCATCTGGAGACAGATGATGTCTGATTATCTCTCTGTGATGTTAAAGTGATCAGTGGCTCCAAGCTTTGTTCTCCTCATCTATCTGCCATAGAGCTCCCATTGGCCTTCCACCTAATGATTTTAGCAGCCTTCAATGAGTAACGTCTAGAAGATCCATTTATTTCATTACGGATTACAACATAGTGATACTCTAATTCTATAATTCTTCCTGCATTTATTAGCTGGAATTCTTTTTTTTTTTTCCTTTTTGTCTTTTTTCGTGACCGGTAACAGGATCGCAACACTCAGTGTCGTGCCCGTACCGCGACCGGCAACGGGATCGCAACCCTCAGTGTCGCGCCCTCACCGTGCTCAACCAGTGAGCGGACCAGTCTCTATATGGGATCCGAACCCTCGGCAGGAGCGCCGCCGCGCTCCCAAGCGCCGCACTCTACAGAGTGCACCACCGGGCCGGCCCTGGAATTTTATTTTTTTTTTTTTTTTTTTTTTTTTTTTTTTTTTT